CAGTGTTGGGATCACAGCGTGTGAACTCGCCAGTGGGCAGGTACCTTTCCAGGACATGCACAGGACTCAGGTAATGGAACTCCCTGAACTTAGCTTTGACGGCTTCCTTGGGTCTAGATGACTTCCGTTGAACATTTTGTTGTAGACTCTAGAGATTGACTGTCATTTTTATCTAAATGTTTCCCCCTAGAAAGCATTTGAGAGTGTTCCCCTTCCTCCTAGATGCTGTTACAGAAACTGAAAGGCCCTCCGTATAGTCCGCTGGACATCGGTGGCTTTCCGCAGTCGGACTCCAGAATGAGAAATTCCCAGTCCGGGGTGGACTCCGGGATTGGAGAGAGCGTGCTGGTCTCGACCGGAACTCACACAGTCAACAGTGACCGTCTCCACACGCCAGCCACGAAAACGTTCTCTCCGGCCTTCTTTAGCCTGGTGCAGCTGTGCTTACAACAAGACCCCGAGAAAAGGTAAGCTTGGCCATCTATAAACAGCGCAAAATGTGTGTGTTTTATATCTTAGAGTGGTTTTGTGGTGTACCCTTCCCATAGAAGTCACATCTTTTCATCAAACACTTAGCCTAGAGACTATCAGTGCTAAGAACAAGTCAGTGAGAAGCAAGGGTGAGGAACACGGGTGGAGTTCAAAATCACAGGCGTTGGGCATTGTTTGTAGCCACACTGCACCCAGTCACGCTGCCTTCAGTCGGTGGTTCTTAGCGTGTCCACGTAAGGCACTGTTGCTATTGCTGCTATACATAGCCTTGTAAATGCTGATACGCTCCCGCTGGCATTTTAGAAAGAAGATACCGACTCTTACCTTTTTTAGAACCTTCATCCTGGCAGGTTCCTTACAAATAGTTTGCGTACAGTAAAAATTGAGTATGGGTTAATATAAAGGTATTTCCAGAATTATTTCTTCTACCAGTCAAGGCTGTTGCTGAGAATTACTGCTAATCTGTCCTTTTCTGTCTAACTTTTTAACATTGCGTTTGTCAGTTCTAAGCCTCATTTCTAATGTAATTATATACATGAAAAAAATGTATGTTCTAATATTAGGTTTTATTTTCTAATAACTCTTTCAAAAATTTCAGGCCATCAGCAAGCAGTTTGTTGTCCCATGTATTCTTCAAGCAGGTGAGCTGATCTATTGTCCATGGTCTTAAATATTTAAAAAAAAATTTTTTTAAAGGCCATTTTTTGTTGACTTTATAGAGTTTAGCTAATAACGTTAGTTCCTATAAAATAGAGTTAAAGCAAGAAAACATTTTAGTAGTTTCACTTATTTTATTGTTTGTCTGTGTTAACTTGGATGTCGTGTTCCTGCATGGTGGGGGTCAGAGGATAGCAGTTCTACCATGGGGATCCGTGTGGACCGCAGGTCTTAGGTGTCATGGCAGATGCTTTTAGCATCTTTGCCCAATCAGCCATCTGCTGGCCCTAATAGTAGAATATCTGAAAGAGTTTTATTCTTCAAAACCAGAAGAGTAAAAGCAGCCTATCATATTACAAATTCCATATTTCCATCAACTGACTTACCTACAAATGATGACAGGGCAGAATAATTCTGATTAAAAATTAGTTTATTTAGCTTTTAAGTCTCCCTGTTTTCTGATTATCAGAATCGGAGGCATTTAAAGGAAAATAATTTTGAAGTTTTATAATTTCTTTAAAAGCTATTTGTTGTGAATAAAATTCATGCTGAGTCTGTGCCCACATCACTATCTTAAGTTTCTTTAACAGATGAAGGAAGAAAGCCGGGACTCCATTCTCTCGCTGCTGCCTCCTGCTTACAACAGGCCGTCCATGGTGCTGCCGCCAGCATCACCGTGGAGTGAGCTGGACTGCGAGTTTCCCGATGACAGAGACCCAGACTGGGAATTCTAGGGTCGCCACCTCATGTCCTCTGTACTTGACAGCTGCTCCTTGCTGCTTCTCTCCTGTCTTGCTGGGGACAATGCCAGATCTATACTTGAAAACTCCGTTGGTGCACTGGAGACTCGCCCGCTCTGTTCATGCGGTACACCCATCACCTCTGCTCAGATGGGCGCGCCTTCACGGTCCTTCACGATGGCAGCGTCAGAATCATCCGTCCCTTCCTCTCTCTAAGCTGTGACTGGAACTTTCTGGATCTCAGTGTGATTTTTGAGCCAGCTAGGTTTCTTCTACATTTTGCTGTCCTCTGGGGAATGAGCCCTTCCTCCAAGGACGGTGCTTCCGAGAGCATCTTTTCTTCAGACTCTCTAGCCTTTTTTTTTTTTTTCTTTTTGAGAAGGGAAACTATTGTGCTGTCCCTGTTACATATGGTGACATCAAACTGAGCCTGGGCTCCCATTAAATAATCCACTTGAAACATGAAGAGAAGACACTGTCTACATTTCAAATGGGGGGAGGGGGGCTAATGTGAAACATGAAGAGAAGACGACGTCTGCATTTTAAATGGGGAGCTAACATGCCACTTTTCTACCTGTGTAAATTATATATTCCGAATTCATGCACCCTGTGGGAGCTCAATAAAGATTTATTAGACCGTACGTATCTTTTATATATTCTGTGTGACTTAACAAAGCTAGAACACATATTCTAATTTGGTTTGCCAAGAGAAGGTCTTTTTTTTTAAAACTTGAGTTATGTAACCTAATAAAGTGTAGGCAATCTTGAGGAGATACAGAGACAGAGGGTGTTCTGGTCTTTCATGTTTATTCCTGTAGTGGGGTAAACCATGCGGTTGTTCGTGACCTGGCCTCGTTAGCAGGAGGTGTTATGCGTCTGTTGAAATAAGAGCAGCGGGGCTGCGTCCCCAACACCCCTGCCGCTTGGCTAGCTTATGCCCGAAATAACAACACACAAACTGTATTCATTTAAGAACTGCTTGGCCCTTGAACTCTAGCCCTTACAGGCTAATTCTCGCACCTGGACTAGCCCATTTCTAATGATGTGTGTAAGCACCCCAAGGTGCGCTTACCGGGAAGATTCTAGCCTAAGTCCATCGTGGGTTGCAGCTGCCTGGGAGAGCAGAGCATGGCGGCTGTCCGGTCCCTCTGGAAGCAGCGCAGAGTCTGACCTCACTTCCTCTTCTGCCCAGAATTCTATTCTGTTTACTCCTCCCATCTATGCTTTAACCTATCAGGGCCAGCCAAGCAGTTTCTTTATTGCTCAGCCAATGAAATCAACAGATTGATATGACACGCCCACATCGTGCGTCAATCACTCCCCTGCTGCTGTGATAGAATACTGTGATCAAAAGTGGCGTAAGGAAGAGCTGCAGAGGGCTAGCTGTCCACCATGACAGGCAGCAGGAGCGGAAAGAGACCGCATTTCAGCTCCACACACAGGAAGAGAGTGACCTGGAAGTGGGGCAAGTGTGTAAACTCTGAGAGCACCCCCAGTCACATTCTTCCTTGAGCGAGGCTCAGAGTTCTAAAAGTTCATTAACCTCCTGATAGCATCACCGACCCCAGCTAACCGGTCAGATACATGAGCCTGTAGAGTACATTTTCACCCCAAATACCACGCCGTCTCAAAAATGGTGTCAGTTGTAATAATGTCTGTTGGTTTCTTAATCTATATGATTATATACATAGCAAGTGACTATGAATATATTATATTGGAGGTGATTGTAAAATGATTAAATAGGCAGACAGAAGCAATTCTGTTTGTGTTTGTTGGCTATACCCCTGCCTCAAGAATGAATGTTAGGGAAGCTCTGTGCCAACGTCCACCAAGACCTGCTGTGATGCCAAGCGGAGCAGGAAGCGGACAGGAGCGTGATGGGAGCTGTAGTTCATTTCGCTTAACACCTTAGCATCGCCCCCTCTGGGAAGGTCCTGCGTGTTTACGTAACCTGCCAACAGTGGGCGGGGTCGTCATGAAATGTTGCCTGTCAGATTCTACTGTCGGAATATTGGGAATTAGAATGTGTACATGTTTGCATGTGCATAGAAAACATGCAATATCCACACATATGTAAACGTTTAAAGAATTGGATCACAAAATGGTGGAGGCTGACAAGGGTCTGCGCATGAGCTTAAGGTCTCAGACAAGACAGCCTTGAGTGTGTCCAGGGGCTGTGAAAAGCTGAACCCCAGCTTAGAGTCAGACAGGAGGACCTTACTTTTAGGGGGGGGGGGATGTCAGAATTTTTGTTGTATGGAAAACTTCAGGGATTTCCATGGTGAGATGTGTTAGAAACACTGCCCGCAAGTGACAATACTGTCATAAAATTTTAGTGAGGTGCAGGAATTTGAGATTTCCTTCCTGGGAATGTACCCTTGCTGAAGTCAGACCCGCGGTTCCTCTTTACCATCGCTCAGTTGCCTTCTACCCCCCAATTCGCTTCTCTGCTCTCCTCAGCCTCACTGGAATTGCTACTCATGTTATACCGCGTACCTTTTGGAATCTTGGGCAGAAACATCCCATATACCTTGTTCCTTTCGCATCCAGGGCAGAAACAGCTAAACTCTGTTGTTTTTAGTTCTCACAGCTGACCTCACTCCTGATCCTCTTGGCAGCAGCTGGTTCTCTTTAAGACCCGGCAACAGCGCTTCCTTTCTGCGTGATTGGAGCACGTCTTGTTTTTGCTAGCTCTGTTCGCTCTTCCTTTTGGCTTCTCAGCTTGCATCTATCGCTCAATAAAATGAGTCCCTGCATTCTTTCTGACCGGCCCAGGGAAGTGCAGACTGTTAAAGCTGGAAATTTAAAGTTTAGTTGCTAAGCTCGGACAGCTGCGAATGGGGAGCTGGCGAGCTGAGTGGGTAGGGATTACCAAGTACTGCAAACGCAGGGAGGTTAAAGACTCTTTCACCCCCAAAGGGACAAGCTACGCAAACTTTGCTAATGAACACCAACCGTATATGCATTTCTTTAGTTCGTTCTGGAGAAGTCTATAAACAAAAACACGCTTACATAGGATGTGTTTATTTTTCATTTTAATCGTAATAAAATGGTCTCACAAGATGAAACTTAGTTGCTGACTTCTATCACACACGGGGGATAGATCTCCAAACCATTTTGTGAGTGCAGGAATTATATTCTGACTGGTGGCCTCACATATCATCCTATAGTATCTAGCATCTGGATAATATCACAAATGAGCGGACGTTTTTCAATATTCTCTTTTAATTTTCTTTTGGACTGTATTTTACGTATCTCGTACTGTGGGTTGGTATCGTGTATATGAACTAAGCCCGCTGAAACCATCCGAGGACTTGCGAATTTCCCGGCGACACTTTCTCGGCCTTTGTTTGGCTCTGGCGCAGTGAAGGGTCGTGCACAGTGTTTTGCCTGGTTGTGGGGATCGTCTGGACTCTTGCCTAAAAGTCTGGCTCTTGATTTTGAGTTTTTAGGATGTTTGACTGAAGGCATATGTAAATCGTCGAATCTATCCAAACAGTCCTACATTTTGAAACAAAGCATCAAAGGGGTAAGTTAGGCTTCTTGAGAATACATTTTCACATGATAAGAAGTAATGCCTGTAGGGTCAGCAGTTAAGAAATGAACGCCCTGATGTTTCTTAGGCAGTCTCAATGCGCGCTGTACACCCAGGGCTTCCCATTAGATGCTCCCTAAGGAGCTCCCTCAGGAGTGGTGATTGTTTTTCATCTTACCTTTTTAGAGGACTTGCTTCCAAGGGTGAAAGATAATGAAAATGAACCCACCCCTAACTAAGGAGCTGTCCTCTGGGGTCAGACCCAGGCAAAGTAGGCCAGCCTAGTCTCTAGTCTCCAGTTCTTTTCCAAACTGTCTTTCCCATGGCCTCAAATGTAAATTATAAACTTTGATATTTTTTACTTTTATATCATCTAAACTTTTATCTGTCTCTAGAAGTCACTTTAATAACCATCTTTGTTAGTGTATATATATGTATATATATCATGTGTATATACATATGCAGATATACAACATAACATTCTAAGACTGTAATTGTAATATTTGTATGGGACTGAATATCGGTATATAGTCCAAGCTGGCCTCTTACTCTAAATCTTCTTGTCTTGGTCTCCTGATTGGTAGTATTCTAAGTGTATATCACCACACCCAGATCGATCATTATAATGTTTACATTAAAAATCATTGGCCAAGTGTGTTGGCTTAGTCCCCATGCTCAAGGTAGAGGAAGAGGGTCACCGTGAGTTCAAGGTCACCAAAATAACAAGAGGGGGAAAGTGACAGTTGTCTTCTTTGCACGTTCTATGGCTGTGTTTTTAATATGAAGAACAATCTAATGTGCCCCTAAAAGGGTGCGGAGCTGCTGGCGGTGGTGTCAGCTCATTTCTTCACAGAGTAGTTCTCATCCCACTGGGGAAATAGCACGGACAGCCACTCACAGAGATGGGTGTTTTGATGAGAGATAAGGCAGGTGTGGCTAATTATAGGGTCAAGAAAGTTGGGTAGGACTAGTAAGAATCTGGATGACTACAGAGATCTACAAAAGACTACAGCCATCTGCAAAAGGAATCCGACCTACTTGAGTTTTTGCCTGGTTTTGGAGATGGCAGGAAGATACTCTTTTTCTTTCTTCTTGAAAAAGATCTTACACTCTAGCCTGCATAAACCTGGTTTGGAACTCACTGGGTAGCTTAGGCTAAAACTAAACTAAAACTTGAGATCATCTGGCCTTTGGAGTGGAAAATAAGAAGCTAGAAGCCAAAACCCTTTAAGGAACTGTCTCTCCAGGGTCAGGTCCCTCCCAACAGCAGCTTTTCTGTCTTCTGACTGATTCATTTCAGAAGTTCTTAGGTTTCAGGAAATAGAAGGACATCTTTGTGATCATTTGACAAAAGCTCTAGTGCCATTGAACTCACTTGTCCATTAGAGACAAAAGTTCAGAAACACTTAGTCCTACTATAAGGAGATAACTACAAGCTGTCCTCCCTTGCTCTAACAGGAAGGGTTGTGAGTGCTGAGGAGATGGCTCGGTTGGTAAAATGCCTGCCATGCAAGCATTAGGACCTGAGTTCAGTCTCCAGAACTCATGTTAGAAAACAAACAACAAACCTGGGCATGGTTGTGAGCGACTGGAATCCCAGGGCTGGGAGGGGGGGAGGGAGGAAGGAAGGGGGGAGGGAAGGAGGGAGGAAAGGAGGGAGGGAAGGAGGGGGGGAGAGAGGGGAGAGAGAGAGAGAGAGAGAGAGAGAGAGAGAGAGAGAGAGAGAGAGAGAGAGAGAAGAGGATCCTTGCCAGCCAGCCCATCAACCCTAATCATCAAGTTCCAGACCAATGAGAGATCCTGTCTCAGACCAAACCAAACCAAAAGACCAAGTGGATAACACTAAGAAGCTACAGCCAGGATTAATGTCTGGCCTTCACAGTATGGGCATATGCACCAGCATACATACACACACACGCACATGCACAAAGGGTTATGAGATCATATATGCTTTTATACAATTTGACATGAACATAATTTACTCATTTGGGGAAAAAAAGTCTCTAAAGGGCCTTGATCTTCTTTCTTCAGAACTCAAATTGAATCTGTTTCTTTTCTTAATACGCACATGCCTGTGTATACACAGATACACTAGCTCAATACTAAATGACTATATTTAGATAGAAAAAAATCTAAAATTAAGAATATAAATTCTTATCCCACCACTAAGAAACTGTCAGAATATTTATATTACATGTAGCATAGAGCTATGTCAGCCCTGCCACTATAAAGTTAATAGCTTGCTTTACTGCATAAAAAGTATCAAAGTAACTTCTGAAATTAGACTTATTTTCCCGTTCAAAGGCAGACTAATGTAATCAAGTTGTTGATTTAAGATCGGTTTCAGATCTTAAGAGTTTTCCAAATTATGATTCATGTGCACTGCACGAATTAAGGGAGAAGAGCCATGATCCAGAGAATCAAAATAAATGCCTGCTGCTTCTATATTTTCTTGCTTTAGAATGTACACACAAAGCCTAGCAGTCATGGAACAGGAATGGTTAAATTGGGAAGAAATCGGGAGAGTGGGATAGAGGAGGAATATGGGGACCTTTGGGGTAAAAAAGTCGCATGGAGAGCTGTCTGCTTCTCTCTCTCTCCCCTCTTCCCTCCCCATATAATGGAGTTGCCTTATGATATGATGGGATCTATAGAGGGATAGCAGCCACAGCTAAATGCCACAAGTTAACAAATTAAAAGCCCAATACCAGGAACAAGTTGCTGCTTTTGGAGTTATTTACTGGTGAGGTCCTATATACCTCAAACATTACAGGCTGTTGCCAATGCTATTTGCCCTCCAGAATTTGATAAGACCGTATTGCTGAAGATACCACAGACATGAATCATGGGACATGGAGGCATCAAGATGGTACTGGCCTGGAAGCCTCATCCCTGTTAGCTGGGTCCACAGTGCTGGGAGTACTATTCACGCTACCGGAAGGGAAAACAAACAAACAAAAAAAAAAAAACATCAGTCAGTCGTACCCAGCTGTGAACCCTGTAAAAGCTAAGAACCACATCTGCCTGGCACAGCATGCCTGCGGATGCCACAGCAGCACCGACATCATGGGAGTAACCACACACTTTCTGTTTGGGTTTCAATCCCACTTGATGGACAGAACCTGTAGCTGGCATCCCTGTCAGGCCCAGAAGCTGTTATCGGGCTATCAGTGACTGTTCTATCCAGAGATTGGTGCCTCTCTCTAAGCTCATCAAAGAAGCCTTTGTAATTCACTGTAGGTGGTGACTAACACAGAGATCCACAGCTGGCTGAGGTACAGAGAACAAGAGGCCGTGGACCGCTCAGCCCTAAATGGGACAATCTACATCACATCCCCTCTTCCTGAGACTCGGATCATTGCAGAGGAGGGAGCAGAAAGAGGGTAAGAGCCCCAGGCAATGGGTGAACACACAACGGGACACAAGGGACAGGTGCTTGCATTTGAAAGCACAGTGGTTGTGGTAGCCTGTGTGAGGGCAAACCAGACAGAAGACCCAGCGTGGAGAGGGTAGGCTGGAGAAGCCTCACCCCTTTTTCAAGGAGATGTTGCAGATGAACAGACAGCTTCCAGGAGAGAGAAGTCAGTTCTCTTGAAGAATGTAGCCCCTAGTAAGCTGACCATGCTCCGTGTCCACGGTTCACATGTCCAATAGTGTCTGGGCAGCACAGATGGGACTTGATGGGGCTTGGGAAGAAGACACACGTTGGGTAGGTAGAGAAGGAAGCTGGGCCTGAGGGGAGCTGGGCAAGTGAATGTGAACAAAAACACTGAAAATTTCAAAGAACTAACAAAACCTAGAATTTAACTCCCGAGATCTCAGAAGATGATCGAGCCAGGAGGGTAAAGGGCCAAGCAAGTAGAGCTAAATTTAAGAGTTTCAACTAGTAATCCAAAAGAGTGTACGTTGTACATATGATTCTAATTCCTAGCAGAACGAGAGCTTCCTACTTCTTTACTAACCAAGACAATCCAGGTATCTGAAAGAGCCATGTATACAGTTCTGTCTCTGGGAGAAGAAAATCTCAGTTATGTTTCCGTGGTACCTGGCCTCCCATGGTTGTGTAGGCGCAACATGGCACAGTACCCTAGGCTAACCTCAGTCAGGAGGGCCATCTAGCCAGGCTTCCAAAGACACAACCGTGTGCCTGGGCTTCGGATTTGTTAGCCGCGAGGGCTTTCCTAGAAAAAAGAACACCGTTTTCTAAGTCATGTCCCAGACGAGGTACCCTTTTCCTGCTTCATAAAAGACATTCTGGTTTTGTAATTGTCTTTTGAATCAGTTGAGATATTTGAACACAACAGAACATTTTTAAAATACACAAGTCTGTATGGATATCAGAGGTACACACACACACATACACACAGACACACCCTACACACACACACACATACACACACACACCTTCATTTAGAAGGTATACGTATTCTAAAGCAAAATTATAAAACTTTACAGGAGGAAAATACTTAGGAAAAGCATGATTACATGTATAGTTCTCCTTGCAGTCCAGTGAAGCAAAGTCCTTGGGACAGACTTCCGGAGGTGAGGTCTTGTGGGCAGTGTGGCTGGCAGTATCCTAACTAGCTTGTAAAATGACTTCTTCGGTTTGACGGTGTAATCTCTTCTTTTGGATCTCATGTTTTCTCTCTTCAGTACTTCTGGGAAGAAGGATGGCCGGGAGTTTCTCCCATCTTCTTTGTTTTCTAATGGCGGCGATTCAGAGATCTTGGTGCATTTTTCACGGCAAGCTTCGTACGGGTTTGTATAAAGAGTTTCCATTTCGTTTTTGAATTGTGCAAATGTTACCAAGTGTTTTTTATTGTTGTTATTGTTTCCTTTCCACTTTTGACAGTACTTGTCTAGTTTTGATTGTTTCCCACTCTCTGTGTTGACGTAAAGGAAAGTGTTATTCAGCCAGGTAGGGAAGGGGAGTCTATTTAAGTGTTCATTTTCTCTTGACATTTTGGAGGTAGGAAGCTTTAGATAAGGCGGCAATCCCGTATCGGGTTTTTCCTGAGCAAGCAATTTACAGATGTTATTGCTCTCCCTTTTGTCAAGTGACTTCGCTCTTAGTGTCTTTTCAAAGCAAAGTTTTGATTGAATTGGTTTTGATCGACCATCCCAGCTGTAGGACTCTTGAGTCTCTGCTTTGTAAACAGAGTTTTCTGCTTGAGGAAGTTGCATGAAACCATGATCTTTCTGGTGTTTCTTAAGTAAGAGATCTGCAAGTCTTTCTGGTGATTTGTTTAGTGGATTTGCCTGGATATTTTTATTGGGATGAGTTTGTACTTTTATTACTGTTTTAACTTCCCTACTATAAACATGCTTATGTTCCCAGAATGCTGGTGGATTTTCTTTCAAACTGTATGAGAAAGAGCCCCCCTTTTCTTCCTCTTGGGTCAGTTCTTTTTCTCCGCATGGATCTTCGAGAAATGTTGGTGACATGGGATTTTGACAGACTTTTGAATATTTCTTTTGCTTTTCTGAATCCTCCCTCATAAAGTAACTTTCATCTCTAAGAGGTAAATCTGGTTTTGTGTAGTTTAATGACCTTGAAAATGAATCAAGAGAATTAACTTGCTGGCTGATCCCCTCTAGCTGTTTTTCTGTAATTAGTCCTGATTTCTGAAGTTTTTCTATAAAGAGAACCTGGACGTATTTATTCAAATCCGTTTTTAGACCTAATAATTCATTTTCTGGTAAAACATTGAGGCAATTTTGTAGAGATTCACTTAAAGGGTATTTCATGTTTATTTTAAGCTTTGAACCCAAACCCCCACCGGCAATGTCTTGTTCCAGCTCAGGCAAACACCTTGGGGTGCTCTTACTTCTCAGCGAGGACATGCTGGGGCAGAGAGCCATGCTATCTGCCTCATTGAATAAATTGCTCCCTGAAAGATTCCTCAGGAAACATTTTTGGAGAATTTCATTTAGAAAAGATCGGAGTTTTGTTTCTAAGTGTTTATCTATGAAGTGATGGTTGAAACTCTTCATAAAAGACATGACTTCCTTGATGGTTTCCGAATACTTGTCCTGGGGAGGGCTTGGCTCTTTGGCCTCTGCTTTCTCGCTCATCTGACCCAGGTTTCCGTAAACTTTTGGTAAATCCTCCTTGGTGATGTGGCCCACCTCCGAGAGCCTTTCTATAATGTAATGCTGAATGTGCTTACCTAACTCGACCTTCAGAGTTTTGACTTCTGACTCTGACAGTTTCTCTAGAAGCCCACACAGCTTCGGATCCAAAGTGGCCTTCCTGTCTTCTCTGTCTGCTTGAATTTTTTCTAGGTGTTCTGCACCGTGGGGCGCAGAATGTGAAATTAGTCTGTCAAGCTCTTTCTCTAACTGGTTATATTTGAAGAACGCCCTGAAGATATTTTTTAGGAAGGATTTTAACATTACTGCATCTATGTCTTTAAGTTTGCCCATGAAGCTGCTACTTAAAGTCTCCAACGTGGAACTTAGCCCAGTCTCCTCTGTATCCAGATGGTGCTGCTGCTCGTTCAGGAAATCTGACTGTTTGTCTACTCTTTGGTAATGAGCTCCACTCACAAAGGTTTCTGTGGGCTGAGTAGTAGGCGTAGTCTGTCTTGAAAGCAGCTTTGTTTGGCTTTGGACGTTAGAATGCTGCTCTGTCGGGTTCTGCACCTTGTCCTCGGGAGAGGCCGTCTGTCCGTCCAACAAAGAGCTCTGGTTCTCTTCTTCTAGTTCTGTCACGCTGATCATCCCAGACTCCAAGAGAGTTTCTACGGGAAAAGACTGTAAGATTCTGCTTATACTGGATTTGGCTGGCGACAAAGGAACTTCATTGCTGTCTTCTTCATAGTTATCAATCTGTGACGACGAACTTCTCTCCGAGGAAGCGAGCAGCTGTTTCTGCAGGGCCGTCTGTGCCTCACTCAGCGCCATCCCTGCCTCCAGGTGTGATAATAGGGGCCCAGTGAATATTTGCTTAATGATGTGTTCATAGACACCACCATTTAAACCCAGACTGGAGCTTGACACTTCATTTACTAAATGCTTTGTTTTAAAGCTGCTCTTTCTGTTTGATGGAAAATTTATTTCAGCAGCCTCTAAGGGTTTGCCAGAGATACCTTCTATGTCTGAAGATGTTCCCGGTCCACCTTCCGGAAATACACCTTGAGGAACACTTTTAACCACGGGACTTAGAAGAGCCTGTGAATTTAGAATGTCTTTGGATGAAAGCCAGTTCTTTATGTCTTGGACCTTTTCAAACACTTTGTCTTCCACCCCATTTGAGGGCCTGTCGCGCACACTTAGAGACAGAGAGGAGCTTCCCCGTATTGCCTCAGCACTGTTTGTGCCGGCATCCGGCTTAGAAAATAACTCGTCTGAGAGGTCTTGCAGATTCCTACTGAAAACTGATTTGAGTGCTATGGATGGTCTTCTATTTTCAGCATTAGAGGTCAACTTGGTTGGGCTCGAGGGGTGATAGATGTTTACATTTTCAGGTGAGGACGATTCTTTTTGGTAGTTTGGGAAAGGTACGTTTGGCAGCTGCATATCCAAAGAGTACACTGTGAAGACAGCAGGATCCCGCACTAACTTATCCCTTGAAGCTGGAGTTCTGACTGTGTTGGGAGTCAGATCTGAATGGGCGGTAGGGTTACCACCTGGCAACTTGTTCTTACTATCTAAAGACTGTGTTGATATGATACTAAGAACTCGGGACGATGTGCTAGTATCTGAAGACTTTTTGGCAGTATTGCTAGAATCGTGGCTTACAATACTAACATCGGAAGGCTTCGTCAGAATGTTACTAGGATCCTGGGACAACGTATTCTTACTATCTGAAGACTTTGTTGAAATGATACTAGGATTATGGGGAAACCTACCAGGGACTGAAGTCTGTGATGAACTGGAACTAGGAGCACTGGATATCCTGGTATCTGAAGGCTTTGCCATATTGGAACTAGGGACACTGGATGGCCTCCTATCTGAAGGTTTGGCTGTATTGGAACTATGTGTACTAGACAGTCTTGTGTCTGAAGGCTTTGCCGTATTGGAACTATGAGCACTGGAGAGCCTGGTGTCTGAAGGCTTTGCCGTATTGGAACTATGAACACTGGATAACATCGTGTCTGAAGGCTTTGCCGTGTTGGAACTATGAACACTGGATAGTCTCGTGTCTGAAGGCTTTGCCGTATTCGAACTATGAACACTGGATAGCCTGGTGTCTGAAGGCTTTGCTGTATTGGAACTATGAACACTGGATAGCCTGGTGTCTGAAGGCTTTGCTGTATTGGAACTATGAACACTGGATAGCCTGGTGTCTGAAGGCTTTGCCGTATTCGAACTATGAACACTGGAGAGCCTGGTGTCTGAAGGTTTCGCTGTATTGGAACTATGAACACTGGATAACATCGTGTCTGAAGGCTTTGCCGTATTGGAACTATGAACACTGGAGAGCCTCGTGTCTGAAGGCTTTGCCGTATTGGAACTAGAAGCACTGGAGAGTCTTGTGTCTGAAGGCTTTGGTGTATTGGAACTATGAACACTGGATAGTCTTGTGTCTGAAGGCTTTGCCGTATTGGAACTATGAGCACTGGATAGCCTGGTGTCTGAAGGCTTTGCCATATTGGAACTAGGGACACTGGATAGTCTTGTGTCTGAAGGCTTTGCCGTGTTGGAACTATGAACACTGGAAAACATTGTGTCTGAAGGCTTTGCCGTATTGGAACTATGAACACTGGATAGTCTCGTGTCTGAAGCCTTTGCCGTATTGGAACTATGAACACTGGATAGCCTGGTGTCTGAAGCCTTTGCCGTATTGGAACTATGAACACTGGATAGCCTGGTGTCTGAAGGCTTTGCCGTATTGGAACTATGAACACTGGATAGCCTGGTGTCTGAAGGCTTTGCTGTATTGGAACTATGAACACTGGATAGCCTGGTGTCTGAAGGCTTTGCTGTATTGGAACTATGAACACTGGATAGCCTGGTGTCTGAAGGCTTTGCCGTATTGGAACTATGAACACTGGATAGCCTGGTGTCTGAAGCCTTTGCCGTATTGGAACTATGAACACTGGATAGCCTGGTGTCTGAAGGCTTTGCTGTATTGGAACTATGAACACTGGATAGCCTGGTGTCTGAAGGCTTTGCCGTATTGGAACTATGAACACTGGATAGCCTGGTGTCTGAAGGCTTTGGTGTATTGGAACTAGGAGCACTGGATAGCCTGGTGTCTGAAGGCTTTGCTGTATTGGAACTATGAACACTGGATAGCCTGGTGTCTGAAGCCTTTGGTGTATTGGAACTAGGGTCAGTTGACAGTTTATAATCCGTATCTGATAACTTTGTTATGGTGTAAACGGGATGATCACTGATGAATATTTTCTTCATATCGGATGTCTCTGTTGTGCTGAGAGTAGGGTCGAGTGACCATGTATTCTTCCTGTCTGCAATCATTGTGTTGGTGGTGGTATGTTCGGGAGGCAAGTTACTTTTCTGGTGTACCAAGTGGGTTGTGGCGAGGTTAGGATCTTCAGCCCAGGGTGTGTGAGATCCTGCAGACCTTGAATGTTCTGTGTAAGGAGGGTCTTGGTCTTCGTGTTCTGCGTCGTCTGCACTTGAAATGCTTGGAGATCGGTGTGCGCCTTGGCCTTTCTTCTTTCTGAATGGCATTTTGCTGTTTATGTTCCTTAGGAAAGGATCAAGACCACTCTTGATGAGTTTCTGAAAATGTAATATAAAAGAAGAAAAGACAGTCCTTAGCATCTATTAAAACAAATTTAACGACCTTTCTGCTCAGTCTTTGTAGAGCAAGTTGTCAATTGATCGAGCCTCCCACCTGTTTTAATAAAGCGAGAGAAATCAACTTTATTAGGAAATATTTGAAGTTTGAGTGAAAATAAATTTCAGTAAAAAAACATTTAAATTCCTAATTCTGACACTATACCCCCCCTCTTTTTTTTTTTTTTGCTACTTGGAATTTTTCTGGTGAGGTACTGGCATTGTTAGCTTTTAAATTTATTTTTTTTGTATATTTATTTATTGATCTACTTATTTTTGAGATGAGGTCTTCCTATGTTACCCAGGCAGGCCTGGAATGCCTGGGCTTAAGGGACCCTCTGTCCTTAACTCACCCTGTCTACAGTGAAATCGTTAACTACTTGAAAGTAGTTAAATATTGTAAATACTTTTTTTAACGATGACATTTAGTTGTGTCTGCTGAGAGAATAAGTGGTTGACACCAAAGTCAAAATCTCCTCCACTATAAATATTTACCACGTAGTAGTCATCTGGGAATTTTAAAAGATGCACACAGGCAGTAAATGTCCACGACATTTTTCTTTAAAGATCATTTTAGGGGCATATATCACCTGGATTTAAGTCTGAGTTCCAACAGTGAAGGCCTCTGCTCAGTCCTTAATATGCCACAGTAGAAGGGTGCTTTTGAGTATGCAGAGATGATTAAGAAAATAACTTAAAGAAAAAAATCTCTGGCTTACAGTGAAATTTCAGTGCAATCGCTATACTCAATCGAGATCTATATATTCAAACGTCGGAACAATCTTTAAAATGAAATGTGTCTATTTAAAAATAAATTTCAATTCGTGTGGTTTCTTTTCCCGTGGAGAGCAGAAGAGGCTGGTATGTCTGGAGCTGGCATTGTGGGTGGTTGTGGGGGGCACCAGAGGTGGGTACCCAGAACCAAACTCTGGTCCTCTGAGAGAGCAGCAAGGATTCCATCACCCAGCTGGATGGATAGCTCACCTGTTAAAGGTTTCTAAAATCTTTTTCTTAAAAGCCTCTTATTCAGTCTCTTTGTGCAACGTCTACAGTGTTAGATCGAAAAAAATGCAAAACCTGAAACAATCAGCTTAATATTTCACTTCAACTCAGCTTAAAGTGCATTTTAGTGATCATAATTTATTATAATTATTTTTCAAGTGCTAATATATACTCAGGTGATATATTAAGAATGCCCTGGTGTTTTTGTTTTTTGTTTTTTGGTTTTGTTTTTGTTTTTCAGAAATAGATACTCTAAGGTTTCATTTTCAAATTGAAATTGATTAGGTCAAAGGAAGCTTGGACATACATATTTTAGAATGTAATCCAGCTTTTCTAGTGACTAGTTCTGGTTTGAGAAATACATATGTTATTTATGTGCACTGGTATATACACATATATTGCATATATGCATATGTGGTATTGGAAAAACCAAGCAATTGACTGTAATTAGTACCAAACTAGGATAAAAGTACTCACCTGATATTTTGGCTTGAATTCTCTAGAGTCCACTCTGAAAACAGGTGTAGTATACTCTTTCTGCACAAAAGCCACCTTGCAAAAGAGGAAGTTTTAATTTTAGACAACTCATAATATAAACATATTTTCCAAGATCATTTTACTCTCAAGAGTCCCTAAAGGTATAAGCATTCTTCTTTAAAGCTAAACAAGAATTCTGTCTCATGTTTACTTTGCTTTAGAGATTTGTAGTGTCCTTCTTTACCTGGCTTGAGGTTTAATTTGTTAGACATAGCTACTCCTCTTTGCTTTCATGTTCCATTTGCTTGGAATATCACGTGCAATTGCAATCGTTTTAGTCTGTGCATGTCTTCGCCACTGAGGCTTGCTTCTGGCAGACAGCAAACACTTAAACCTTGGTTTTCATTCTGTCAGCCAGTCTGCATCTTCTAATTGAGTTAAGACAATTCATCTCTAGGTTCGTTATTAAAATCCACATACTAAGCCTGGAACTCGAGTCATAGGCATTTTCAGGGTCCTTGGATTCTGCCTACATGCTTGTAACCACTGAACTATTATTTCTCCAACTTCCTCAAAAATACTTCTTACTGGATCTTTGTGAATCTATTATTTTGCCCTTCCTTAACTTAGTTATTTTCAAACACCGAGTAACTGCGGTAAACAAGGCGCTCTCTGGAGTTCTAACGACGGGGAACAGGTTAGTATTAACCAGCTTTCCCGTGCTGTGTGTACATTTGACTTTGAAGGCCTCAGTGGCTTTTATGATGCTTGCTTTCAAACAGCACGCTTCATTAAAAACGAGAAATGCTCACTTAACTAGGAGGTCTAAGGGTCAGGCATGGTTGGTTGTGGCGGCTGCTTGCAATCAGGACTCTTCCACGCCTCTCCATGTTGGCTCTCACAGGCATTCCCTCTTTACTAGGTAGAAAAACAACCCCTACCAGCTACCAATATAAAAGGATGAGGCTTTTAAACATTCTTTTTTTTTTTTTTTTTTTTTTTTTTTTTTTTTTTTTTTGGTTGCGAACCTAGCCTTTAGCTGCTAAGCCATCTCTCCAACCCTTTCAACATTCTCATCTCAATTATGTGCTACCCGTTTTGTCCTGATGGCAAGATAAGGGTCAAAGATTGCTAGCCCTACTAGAGATTGGGGTTGTGATGGTGCCGTGGGTGTTGTTAGGCAAAAGGTATGTTAACCACTCGGGTAATTTTATTGAATAGCATCGAGACAATGAGATTCTTTTGTTATACATAAAAAAACCAGGTGGTTTGGAAGCTAAACATGGTCTGGGGACACAGCTGAGTTGGTAGAGCACTTACTTACTTAGCATGTCTAAAGCCCGGGGTTCAGTTCCCAGCACCACACACACACACACACACACACACACACACACACACACACACACACAGAGAGAGAGGTAAACATAAAAAGCATATAACAGAAAAATCCAGAATACTGACGTCATCTTGGGAAGAAGAAACGCTTTCTAACCAAGATATCAAAACTAGACAGACGCTAACAGCCGTGGAGGAAAAGCTGCTGCTAAATTTGACCCCATCAACATCTAAACTAAATCCTATAAATAAACATCACAGGTAAGAAAGCATTGTATTTTAAAATACAAAAATGGCTTTCTCGTGTCAATAAATGAGCATAGAACCTTATTTGTGAACACAGATGATGTAGGCAGTCACGTAATAGAAACACACATGAAAACTGTTCACCCTCGTTAATAACCAGAAAGTGAAATTCAAGCGTTTGTGGAATGTTATTGTTAGCCATCAGTGAAGAGAAACCTAAAATGTAGAGGATGATCTGGGGATTCTCCCACATTTGAGCACACGTGCGGGTTAGTGTGTTGGGGTTAAAGGATAAATCGGCAGTGTCTGTTGACATTACATATGCTCATGTTCCCTATTTCTTGTCTTGTGCTCTCTGCTCATATATGGGATAAAAGGGTGCTTAGTGTTCAACAAGTGCCTATAATGTTTCAAATTCTTTAATGTTTCTTGAAATAGGTCATAGCATATGGTATAATTACTCAAAGTTTTATGGTGATACAAACGGAAGAATACGGAACTGAATCTAGGTATTTCTGCCGGATCCCTCGTGATTACTTGCACAAAGCCTGCACGAGATTGGATCTACCGACGCCCAGGGCTAGAGCTAAGGCTGGAGCATAACCCGCGATGACCGCTGGGTGGCTGTTACCACGAGTACCACGGACGGTGGTGTCTTTCAAGCTATCCGAGGGGGAAGTAAACAGTACACTCAAAGGGTTTAACAGCTATTAGAACCAGAGATCCACAGTTAATGTGCTTTTGAAGCTTAGTGATGACTGCTTTCCATGGATGAAGGAGAATCCCCGGAATTCCATCTCTAGTGGTACTTTAGCAGGAGACACGCTGCCAGCAAGAAATCAGCGGTAGCCATGGCTGGCTCAGCAGCAAGGCATTCTCCACCTTAAGGAGCTGGTATCATGCTGATCTGAACAGGGACCGTTTCCCATGGCCCTCAGTTTGCTGAAGACGCTTCCCGGTTGCCATCCTTACCTTTCGGAGACTACTGGTAAGGTCCGTAGGATGTCTTTCCCAAGTTTGTCTTATCTGGGTGGGCTGTAGTTCAAGAAAGGTTTCAGAAGAACAAGTTAGCATCTGTTTAAAGCCATAGGTGGGATGACTGGGCTGTGTAGGCCATGAAGAGACACTTAGCCCCACCCCCTTTTTTTTTTCTACTAAAAGGAACAATGAGAGGTAGGTGATATGTGTTTATTTATTCATACTTAGACTGCATTTATGATCAAAATAAAAGTTTACTGTCGTTAAAGAACATTTAACTACTTAGAAGGTGAAAGACCAAAGGGTTAATTAATGGGACAGATGGCCGTCATTTTCTTGGTGACTTTTCTGCTTGCTTAACTGTTTCTGGGTATGTACAAAGAGTCAGATATTAAGAAGCTCCTGGGACTTCACTCTTTCTTCTAAAATTATAAAGTTCTTTTTATGCTGGACATACCTTATGTGATGCTTGTTTATACCAGACCATATCACGTTATATGAATTATATGATACTTATGCAATCAGGATGAATCCTTTGACAGTTAAAGTTTTTATGGAGTGGAACACTTCTAAACATTCATTCTTTATGGGGGCTGGAGAGATGGCTCAACTATTAAGGGTACTGGGTCCTCTTCCAGAGGACCTGGGTTCAATTCCCTGCCCTCACATGGTGACTCACGACTGTCTGTAACTTCAGTTCCAGAGGCTCCAACACCCTCACACAAATATGCACAGACAAAATACCAATGCCCATAAAATAAATAAACATTTAAATATATTCATTCCTTGCTTTGAAAGTAAAATGTGCTATGTTTTCATTTTGAAGATGCTGACTATAAAACTCTTTTACTTGAAAAAAAATTGGACCTAGCAACACCAGTTATGGAGGCAGGGGGATACCTATGAGGCCCCACTCCTCCCTGAGGAGACAGGCAGACAGTTAGGGGTCACTAGAGAGGAGACATTTTCTCCTACAGTAAGGTGCCTACGCCCCTGTGAATAGCCCCTCACTGGCTCCTGAGACATGGGAATAGAAGGGGGATCAGTAGAAAAGGGACAAGGGATCAGCAGGAAGAGGAGGACAAGGGCTGACAAGAGTGGGCATGGCCAAAGACATCACAGACGCGAGTGGGGAGAGAATGAAACCATCGCTGCAGATCCTTAATATACACTGATCGTTTTTTAGCCTAAGTGTTTTGTTTACATTATTCTACATCACACCGCGTCATACCAATTTCTCTTTGTCATTCCCAAATACCGTCTTCTTTGAGTAAAATGAAATCCCCATCCCTTCCAGCCCTCCATATATCTGACCTTGGGAGCAGGATTTAGGATCCAGTCAATGCCAGGGCTTACACGGAAGTTAGCTGAGCCACATCGTCGAAGTTTTTAATTTCTGAAGGGCTCAAAAACCATGAAGGTGCGATTGAAAGATGGCCACCCGGATGAGCCGGGCGTGGAAAGGGGCACAGCCAGTCCTTCCTGGTTCAGCTTTGTACTCCAGGCTTTGGTCTCAGAATTGAGCATTTCTTTAGCACGCCGTCCACTTAGGTTCATTAAAAAGTACTCCTTTTTCAACATCAAATTACTCCCAAGCTTGTTTTCTCATAGAATCCTGAGGATTTTGCAACTTGCTTGTGAAGCTTGGCTGTTTATGAATTTGTTCTAGAACTCTGACATGCCTTCAGTTTATAAATCTGTTGCCCCGGTGATAGATTCTTTCAAACTTCTAAGTCTGGTGCCTGTAAGCTGCCTTGTAGGCTGCCACTTGAACTTCTCTTGGTAATGGGGAGCCTGTGTACCCCTTAACAGGGTCCCCCAGTAGTGGCATCTAACACAACTGTTGCCTCATTTCACAACGAAGGCACCATCACTATAAAGGTAAGATACAGACTATCCCACAAGAAGTCCTTTCTACAATCACATTTAGTTCCTTCCTGCGTCCATACACAACCACCAATCCGTTCTCCTTTTCATAACTGTACCGGTTCAAGAATGATAAGAAAGTAGAATCATAGAGCCTATAGCGTTTGATAGCAGTCTACTTTTACTTGGCATAATTCTCAAAAATTCAAAAAGGCTATTGTTTGTGTCGATAACTTTTCCCCTCTCACTACTGACTACTGCTCCGGGTTTACTTGAGTTGGTGAACACCTGCTTGTTTCCGAGTTCGAGCTATAAATATGGCTGCTGTGCGCAGAAGTTCCCAGGCTTTTTCCCACAACATGTAACTCTTAATCTCTGTAGGGTAAGCACCCAAGAACCCAGTTCCTGGCAGGGACAGATTTAGTTTCTGTCTTTCGTTTTTGCTTAAAGAAACTATTCGTGTTCTTTAGGCGCGACAGTGACATTTTCCACTATATTTTCTCCACATTTCACTAGCATTGAGTTTCATTCTGTTTTCAATTTTAAACAAGACGCAGGCCACTCTTCATTGACGCTTCTGTCTGTGGCTGTCCCATTGTCCCAGACAGCTAAAAAGGTCTCCCCTCTTCGTCCCACCGCTCCGTGCGCCATTATCAGCCATTTCAGTGCACCTGTGGGACTATCCCTGGCGTGGTTTTGTAAACGCATTTTATTTATTAGAGTTATTCATTTTACTTTTTTTTGTTTGAGAGTTCGCCTTGGTGCTTTGTTGTTGCTGTTGCTTGTTTGTTTGTTTCTCAAGACAGGGTTTCCCTGTGTGATAGCCCCCCACCCAAGAGTGCTGGGATCAAACACCATGTGCCTTCGTGTTTTTATGTGCACCATGTGTGTGCTTGGCGCTCAGAGAGCTCAGGAGAAAGCATCGTGTCCCCGAGAACTGGAGTGAACCACCATGCGGGTGCTGGGACTTGAACCCCGGTCCTCTGCGAGAGCAACCAGCGCTCTTCACCTCTGAGGCACCTCTCCAGCCCCGCTGGTGTGTTTGTTATCTCCAGCTGATCTGTGTTACTCCCGCCTCTGAAATCACACTCCTCATTCCTTACTATATACTACAAGTTCCTATGTCGTTCCTTTTAAAGATTATTTTCAAATATTCTGGAGTCTTTTTCTCTCTACATACATTTCCGGAGTGATATTTTATCTACAGAAGCTACAGTTTCAACCGAATGTGTGTGAAACCTTTGGAGCAGCTTGTCACGCACTGACCTACTTATTTAGATGTTCAATGTCTTGGCTATCCTGGGTTTTTTATTTTTCCGTATAAAATTGATTATTGTCCTCTCAAGATCTGTGAAGAATTTTGATGGGAATTGCATTGAATCTATAAATTGCCTTTGGTAGAATTGCCATTTTTACTATGTTGATCCTCCCGATCCAAGAGCAAGGGAGATCCTTCCATTTTCTGGTATCCTCTTCAATTTCTTTCTTCAATGCTTTAAAGTTCTTGTCAAATAGATCTTTTACTTCCTTGGTTAGAGTTACCCCGAGATATTTTATGCTGTTTGTGGCTATTGTGAAAGGTGAAGCTTCTCTGATTTCCCTCTCTGCTTCCATATCCTTTGTGTATAAGAGGGCGACTGATTTTTTGGAGTTGATCTTGTATCCTGCCACATTACTAAAGGTATTTATCAGCTGTAAAAGTTTCTTGGTGGAGTTTTGAGGGTCACTTATGTACACTATCATATCATCTGCAAATAACGAAAGTTTAACTTCTTCCTTTCCAAGTCAAATCCCCTTGATCCCCTTATGTTGTCTTATTGCTATTGCTAGAACTTCAAGCACTATGTTGAAGAGGTATGGCGAGAGTGGGTTTCTGAGTTTCGTGTTCCTGAGTTTAGTGGGATGGCTTTGAGTTTCTCTCCGTTTAATTTGATGTTAGCTGTCGGCTTGCTGTATATAGCTTTTATTATATTTAGGTATGACCCTTGTATCCCTAGTCTCTCCAAGACTTTTATCATAAAGGGATGTTGAATTTTGTCAAATGCTTTTTCAGCATCTAATGAAATGATCATATGGTTTTTTTCTTTCAGTTTATTTATATGATGGATTACATTGATAGATTTTCGTATGTTGAACCAGCTCTGCATCTCTGAGATGAAGCCTACTTGATCATAATGGATGTTCAATGTCCGCCCCTCGTTTTTTACTGTATCTCGTACATGTTTTTATTAACCATTCCATCTTTTCTGAGTTATGTCACTGTACATTATTTTTTCTGGACGTTTTTGTTAGTGGATGGAAGTACTATTGATTTCTGCACAACCGAATCTGGATTCATTGGCTCTTCTGTGCTCCCTTACTAGCTCCCTGATTCCCATCTAGGCTACCTGATGGTTTCCGTACAGACTGTGCCGTCTGGGAATGCAATCTGTTTCCTCCTTTCTATTCCGCATGCTTTTTATTTCCTTTTCTTGCCGTGCTGCGATGACCAACACTTCCTGCATCCCACTGAAGACAACCATTAGCAAACACTTGGCCTTGTTTCAGATCTTTGGGGATAAACACTCACTATTCTCTTTCACTATTCAATATAATATAATATAATATAATATAATATAATATAATATAATATAATACGTGAGCTTTTTGAGAAAGTTACCTTTTATTAAAAGCTCGTTCAGGATTTTCTATAATGGCCGGGTGTTTCTGAAAAGCCCCTCCCATATCACTCTGGGTTATTCAGTTCTTAAAATCGGTTGGCACACATATCTTTAACGCTCCAAGGACTCTTCAGGCTGTCTACTGTATTATGGTTGAGTAGGGAGTTCCTACCCCATGCTGCGCTGAGACATTCATTTCACTGACATCTGGTCAGTGCCAGTGATCCCAAGATCGTATTATTGCCTAGTGATCTCGTAGCAGTCTTGGGTTTTCGGGCAGTGAAACTGCACTCCTCAGACTGAATACCCATCGTTAAATGGGATCTGAGTATCTTCAACTTCTCAAGGCAGGCAGGCGGGAGGTGGTTGGCTGCGTGCAGACTAGGATCAAATCCTGACATCCCTTGTGATGTTTACCCAAAGTCCACTCCAGGGTCCTCGCCTGCGATTAAAACCAGTAGAGATTCCCGCTTCATGAGCATTAAATAAATGCTCATTAACAGCTCAAAATGGTGCCAGTGTTAGAGTGTAACCTCATTAAATGTTAATTCCCTGGGTCCGCTGCACAGTAGGTATTCCCATACAGGTACCGTGGACTCTGTCAGCTTGCTCACAGCTAACAGCAGAAAGACTGGCGCCTAATCGTCTTCTAACTTGGAATCTCGGCCTCCTGTCTCGGCATGATCCGTACAGGAGTCGTGCGCTTCCTCCTAATACTCACACGGACCTGACGCCAGCTGGAGTCTTTGTGCTGTTTTTAGATGCCTGAGTTAGATGTGAACACCAAACGTCAAACTCTCCAGGACATTGTAATGGCGTCCTGGGGAAACCAGGGTGAAGATCAGAGCCAGGAATGTCCTAAGGAACGGAGGGCTGCCGACTCTAGGGTCATTGCACATTCTGTGGCATGGGGCCCAGTACGTTCCCCCATCAGACCTACTTCCTACGACAGAGAATTGGC